TACAAGTGAACTTTGACTTCGATCCTTGAGTCATTTGACCTCAGTCATACTTGGCCCAAGGGAGTGATTGGCCTTGGTGACCTGTTTTAGGATGTACGAGACTTACAAGTACTTTGTCATGTCAGATTATTGACTTAATATACTCAAGTTAAATGCACAATGCAATCATAGCTTTGTTTTAGGTTAGATTCTTTTAGAGCTCTTCCTTATTGGTTTCCCTTGCCCAACACCTTTCATACCAATCTGCACCCAGTTAGTTGGGAAAAGAATATCACGGACAGTTGGTTAGTCAAATTAAAATGGCCAATTGATGAGGACACCTCAAAGCCATGGTTAATCTCTTAAGGGTGGTCCTAATTTTTAAGGGTGGTCCCTTAATTATTGAGCTGTAAGAGGATGAGATTCTTCCATTAATAACATTTCTGCAAGTTGCTTAGCTAATTCATAATGTAATTTCAGTGATGAATGCCCCTTGCATGAACAATTTTTGGATACATAACAATTGTAGCTCAGATTAAGATCTATCCACTTTCCAACAGAAGGAAAACGAGACATGAAAACTAATATTTCCATCTCACTCCCTTAGAAGGGGTGTAATTATGGTCACTTAACATTTTATTAAGACTTCACAAATTCTATTTAGTTTAATTGATACTCGTAAATTATTTTTAAACATAATTATAATGTTTGAAAATATTAATTTATAAATTAATTTCATTTTATAAAATAATAAATATTAATTGTTCCATCAATTATTTATTATTTTTAATCCTCAAATCAAATAAATTAATACTTTATCAACAATTTTGTGTAAACCTAACAAATTAATATGTAGTCATAGCCACGAACCCCACAAAGTTAATTGATGAGGTGGGAAAGTTTCATGTTTGAATCTTCTATTTCCAGCTCAAGTACAATTTCACTGTACATATTGTTAGATTACTCAGTAGATTAAGCCATTGGGGTGCTTTCATCTAAATAAGAGAATCTACTTGGACTCCTATTGATATGATAAGGCAGCATTATTATTTGGACATTAAAAGGCTTCATCTCAGAGAATGGAAATTACTGTACGTCCAAAATCACTTAAGTTCAGAGCAAATACGTAAAAAGAGAATTAATCCAAGAGAGAACTTAACACGAACCAAAAGAAATGAAAAACGAAAACAATGCACAACCAACAAAGTGAAATGCAACATGGAAAGGTAGACTTTAATAGCTGATGCTGCCAGATACATCTTTTCAGAAATCTTCTCCTTCCTCTTCCTCGTCAGCTCCTTCAGCTCCAACTTCCTCATAGTCTTTCTCCAGAGCAGCCAGGTCTTCACGGGCTTCTGAGAATTCTCCTTCTTCCATGCCTTCACCCACATACCAGTGAACAAATGCCCGTTTGGAATACATGAGATCAAATTTGTGGTCAATTCGGGAGAAAACCTCAGCTACAGCTGTGTTATTGCTAATCATGCAAACTGCACGCTGCACCCTAGCAAGATCACCTCCAGGTACCACTGTTGGTGGTTGGTAGTTGATGCCACACTTGAAACCAGTTGGGCACCTGATAGAATAGATGTATTGAAATCACTAAGACAGCAAAAGGGGATAGCAATAGACTGATAAGGGTATTTTCTTCAAAATGAAACTCGTTAAGACCACTAATGTTGAGTTGTTTAGAAATGAAATAAGCAAGTGCTATCTACTCACCAGTCAACAAACTGAACAGTCCTCTTTGTCTTGATTGTAGCAACAGCAGCATTAACATCCTTGGGTACAACATCTCCACGATACATTAAACAGCATGCCATGTACTTCCCATGTCTTGGATCACATTTGGCCATCATACTTGCAGGTTCAAAGACAGCACTTGTGATCTCAGGAACTGAGAGCTGCTCATGGAAAGCCTTGGCAGCTGAGATCACTGGGGCATAAGATGAGAGCATGAAATGGATACGAGGATATGGCACAAGGTTAGTCTGGAACTCTGTGATGTCCACATTTATTGCACCATCAAACCTCAGGGATGTGGTCAAAGACGAGATAATTTGGGATATTAGACGGTTCAAGTTTGTATAAGTTGGCCTTTCAATGTCTAAAGATTTCCTGCAGATATCATATATAGCTTCATTGTCCAGAAGCACAGCAACATCTGTGTGTTCAAGGAGAGAATGAGTTGAGAGGACACTGTTGTAAGGTTCCACAACTGCAGTAGACACCTGCAAAATTTGGAAATGTAAGTAAGCTATTTCTTAAACTGATAGTTTGGGCATAATGGATAAAAGGCAGTGAAGCAGAAATAATCCCCCACTCCTAGAGAAGGGGCAAAAGTAGAAAACAAAAAAGAGATATCAATAGCTAGGAGGAAGCCTTCTTCAAGTTGTTTGCCTGATTTTGGGCTCAGAAGATCTTTCTTTAATCCAGACCCTGTTTTAGTCCATGTATTTAAAATTGAAAGAACGAATGAAGACCAAAGATACAAGCTTCAGAAATTCTGTCCTCTAAGATTTTCCTTAAGTTATTTCTGCGATTCTTATTCAGATTGTTTATTTGTTAACAGTTAATTAATATGCTTATTCAAATCAAAGGAGGGAGGTGACTATTCCTAACAGGGCATTGGTAAGATTTAGGGATAGATACTAGAGAACTGATCATCAACGAGTACTGTGATTCATATGGAACAGAAGCAGATAGTTACTTTGTTTATCCTTTCCACGCTAAAGGATTTTACAAATTACCATACCTGAGGAGAAGGATAGATGGTGAAACCAAGTTTTGACTTCTTTCCATAATCTACAGACAAACGTTCCAAAAGCAATGAGCCCAAACCAGAACCAGTTCCACCACCAACTGCATTAAATACCAAAAATCCTTGCAAACCAGTGCAGTTGTCAGCCAATTTTCTCACTCTATCAAGGCATAGATCAACAATCTCCCTTCCAACTGCCGAATACAACAGAAAAGAAGCATAAGCCGACAATCTGGCCTAATAAGATTGCCACTCTGATCTATTTTAGAGATGCATGTACCTGTATAATGTCCTCTTGCAAAGTTATTAGCAGCATCTTCCTTGCCAGAAATAAGTTGCTCAGGGTGAAAAAGCTGTCTGTAAGTCCCAGCTCTAACTTCGTCTATAACAGTTGGCTCCAGATCAACAAAAATAGCTCTTGGCACGTGCTTGCCAGAACCAGTCTCACTGAAGAAGGTATTGAAAGCATCGTGTGCAACACCTACAGAGGTGTCACTGAAGAAAAACACAAACAGATTGCATGAGATTCAAATAACAAAGTAGGAAAAGAAAACATTTGAAAAGGAAAAGGGGATCTATCCCTCCTAAATCACATTTCATGCCCTGCAATTAATATATCTTGTTGATCTACCACAACATGTAATGGAATATCCTTAATGGGTCAACAGTAAGACTACATTAAATTCCGAAAATCACAAGGTTTCATTGCAAACGTTAACACAATTAAAGGATGGGAAAGTACTGGTTTATGAAATTCAAGAGATGCAATTAAGTTCCATACCATTCATCTCAATCAATCGAATTTAAACTAAACTGTCCCATTTCCATGCCAGAGGTCACCACAATTTAACGGCAAAATCACAGAAAACAGACAAAGAAAAACAAACCGAGTTCCTCTCAACCATAAAAACCCTAACCCACAAAATTACGATTACACCACATACCCACATACAAAAACACAAATTAACCACAAAAATACCTACCTGGGCATCATCCCATCAGGCTGAATTTCATGTTCAAGGCAGTAGAGCTCCCAACAAGCATTCCCAACCTGAATCCCAGCTTGTCCAATATGAATACTTATCACTTCCCTCATCTTTTCTCTCCCACTACAACACACTCTAAACCAGTAAAATGGGTGTCCGTAAAATCACCTAGCAGTCTCTCTTCCTCAACCCCTGTTCAGAAATGGGTACGGAATTGGTTAAATAAAGAAACAGGGAAGGGCAGGGGAGAGTCAGGAGATCGTATTAATTGCTGAGTGAGGTGAGGACTGAGCGTTGAGATGGATCAAAAAAACTATTGGATATTTTAAAAGAAAGGCAATGGCTTTAAGATTTGTTTGGATTAATTAAGGGGGAAAAGAGCAGTTGGGTCCCGCCATTTATCGCCAACTGTTTAGTGGGGTTGAAACAGCTGTGCTCTTTGTCGGTTTTCGCATCCCTGTCTAGATTTTTTTTATCTTCTTTGTTCTTTCACATCAATTATTTCTTTCAATAATTACAGCTAAAATATTTTGAATAATTACAGCTAAAAATCAATTTTTTATTTTTTAAAATTATCATATTATATTTATTAATTAATTTAATAATATAAGATAAATTATATTAATAATTTAAAATTTTTACTTTCCTTATCATCATTCATATATTTTTCTTTGGTTTTTTTAATTTTTTTAAAAAAATTTCTTAATATTTTAGAGGATATTTGCAGAAGTTTTTTTTTTTTTGTTCTCCCTGCATCAGAGGAAAAAATCACACTCCAACAGCGATTTGTTACCTACTCCCCTTTATCTTTTTTAATATGTGGATGTTATTTTATTTTTATATGGAAGATTTGAGATAGTTTTATTTTTAATTTTATTTTTAAAAATAAAATAAAAATAAA